ATTGCGTGTGCTCCAAGCTGAAACCCTCATCATTTCAGCGCTTGAGCTAGTGCAACTATTATTACTATTGAAATGTGTTTCTTCAGTGGCAGGAATTGTGTTACGTCTTCCGATTTCCGCAAAACAGAAACTCTCTGATTCACCTGCTTGCGGAAAGGAAGATATTTGATAATTATTGATATTTTCTGGTTCTCTGCTTGAAGTCGACTCCCATTTGGACTCATGAAGATCTATTGTGAAGCTGGCCACTAGAGGAATTGCCAAACCAGTTCCTTCTGGAGGGGAAGAGTTTACATTCTCGAGGGCAGGGATGATTACGGTACCATATCTGCAAGGGTTAGATTAATCTGAGGGGACCACGATCACCGGACACCTCTTCCACAGAACCTCACTTTCTTCCATCTGAACTTCTTACTTATCGATTGGAATGTTCAACTGCTAGCTTGCAACTATTCTGAGACTATGCTGTTGCTTTAGGTTTTCGTTCACTTACTTGTGTGTTCCTTTAGCCCAATTCACATCCGTCGAATTTGATGAGGCGTGACAGTGCAACATTCTGGTGCAGCTCATAAAGTACTTTTTATTTTACGACATATCTCATCTGTTCCTTTTTACAAGTATGAACGTCATTTTGAATGCAGTTCAAGTGTCGTTTACCAGCTAAAATACGCACTCCCGGAAGCTCGTTATGAATCCCTTGTGGCGCTGGCCGTTCAACTCACCATATATGCTTATCCTCATGAACCTCCCCTTCTTGTACTCACAGCCGATTCATTTTTTTGAAAGCAAAAAATCGGCACTATTTACCATTTACTGCGCCCATCATCCGGAATCAAGCCAGGTTTTTGCCACTTTTTTTGTCCGAGTGCAGGCTTGGTTAACGAGTTGCCTCCTGGGTGTAGTTTGACATTCTGAACACGAATACGACATCTGCTCAGCCCAAAGGCTCTTGGCGCTCGCGCCAAGATCCTATATCCCCAAACTCGCCGAAAGCTTGTCTTCAACGGTAGTTTGACCTCCTTAACAGAAGAATGTCACATCTGCAATGGATATTAAGAAAGTCAATGATTAAGTCGAGGGGTACACGTGATGGCGCAGCCTGCTTTTGCCTGTCTGCACCCTTGCCCCGAGGGAGTGATTCCTTCTTCTGCCAAGGCTGAGCAGAGGGAAGGGATGGAAAAACATGTCATAGGCTACCAGAAAGGTGCTGTCTTCCCTCGCCGTATGTCCCTTACTGCCCTAGCACACCGCTCGGCACGAAGCCAAGTGGAGTCCGTGCAACATGCGCCGAAGTCGAAACAACTATGTGGTGTCGACTGGCTTGCGACTCATGTGTTAGGCCTTTCAGACCAAACGGGTGTGATATTCGTGTTAAGGGGATCAAAATACCCTGGAGACAAGTTTACGCGAATTGGTGAGTATTTTTTTGCCGCCGTCTCTCGCACGGGCGCCATGTGGTCTCGGGCTGAACCAGTGTGACATTTGTGTCAGGGGGTCAAACAGACTCTGAAGACAAATTTTTGGCTGAATCTTTGGAAAAAAGGGGCGATAAAAAACTGGCTTGATGTCGGATGACTGGGCGCAGTAAAAGGTATACTGTCGATGGGGTTTTCTTACTGCAGCGGCTCGTACGAACCGGGTGATTCCTTGACGTGATACTTGTCCCTGCGCTGCTCGTCGTATGCTCTGAGTGATCCTAAGTATTAGGTGCGGCATACGTATTTAAACATCGCTTGGACACCACAGGTTGCTGGTCACGATCTTGTATGTGAGGACGAAAAACTTGTGTATTGGCTGATACTGCCAAGTAATTGTAGGGGCTAAA